CACAGAGTGAAAGCACCTGCTGGAAATCGGGTCCAGCGTCCCATACACAGAGTGAAAACACAGACTAAAATTAGGGAGAATCCTGCCAGCATTGATTGCTCTGGGACCCAGAGGATTAACTGAGCAGGTTGTGTCAGAACAGGGAGGAGCCTCTTCACCCCATGTCGGGCGCCAGATCACTGCGTATACAAACTGGTCCCTCCCCTGCATTTGCAGTCTTGCTTACTCCGCTCCGTACCATTGCATGTCCACCACAGCCAGCTGATGAGGGGGAAAGGGGTCGGGGAAGTCCGCAGAAGGCCGTAACGGGACCTCTTGGCCCGCCGTTGTCCAATCTTTAAAACAAAGCTGGTAGTCCTTCCTGATCGGATCCCGGTTCCCGACTTGGTTGTCTCCTTCACCTTCCGGGATTTTGCCGCCCTCCCATTTGATGGAGGCAATTCGGCCGCCATTCTCGCCGCCCAACCAGTCCCCCGAGAATTTTTGGATTTTTTGTTTGATTTCATTCCTTGTTTGGCACAGATCTAGCTGGCCCTTAACCTTCTGCCATTGTGTCATTAGTTCTTGCTGTGTATATTGTCTGATCATGTCCGTCATTTCCTCCCCCGCTATACGGACGCCCTCCAAAGTGTGTATGCAGGTCTTCTCCAGATCGCCCACATAACCGCCCTCCTCCCTATTCTAAACATGTTCTCCTCAAAGGTACTAAGTGTGGGGGAGGTCCATGTCTCACACAGTATCGCCCTCCAGTCCCATGGCCAGTTCGTTTTGGTGTCCTGCAGACGCCAAATTCTGTCCCACCATCGCCACGTGAGAACTGACCCCGGGCATTGCAGGAAAATATGTTCTATGGTTTCCGGAATCCTCCGGGAGGGGAACGCCATGTGACACGACTTGCACCATGGGAGGGCAAGCCCTCTTTGTTCCAAATAGGTGCTATCTATTAACCAGTCATTGGTGGGGAGGCAGCGGTGTTCTATCTGCCACTGCAGCAAAGCTAGCTTCGCAGGTTTGGCCCTTGTAAGGGAAAACCATCGGATAGGGCGAATCACTTCAGCCCCAACATTCAAGTGGGACCTCCAACGGGTTTTTACTATATCCTTCAGATTTACCCTAGGGCGCAGCAATCGAYAAGTAGCCTTCWCAGTCAGGYCGTGGAGCTCCCGGCTCCGTGATCTCGGGGATCTGCGCGGGGAGGGCCATTTCCACTCCTCCGGATCGAAAGGGAGGTCCACGATGCAGGTCCCCGGCTGGTATGCTATGCAGTCCTCCTTATCACACAGAACCCGGATCCTACTCAGATCAGAGTTTCGACACCATCTCGGCGCGGCCGGGGTCCGTTCAGTTAATCTGTTGTCATTTCCTTTGTGAAAGAGATTAATCAGCGATTCGTCCGTGCGTGTTTCCACTACCTTTCCCACACACTCTGGCTCTCCGGGGGTCATTACCCAGTTCCCAGTCTTCAAATTGGGTCCCTTACGCAGAATGCGCACCCAGTCCAGGTGGATCGCAAAGATCAACCTTTCCAGATTATCTCCTAAGTTGTGGCAATGCTTCAGTAATGTCCTCATTTGTGATTCTGTTTTCCACCCCTTATTTTCTGAGTCCCAGATGTCTTTAACTCTAATTATACCCCTTTTGACCCAGCTGTTCCACGGGGGGTCCGAACTACGATACACTCTTCCGTTTCGGTCCGTGATATTTCTATTCCCGAACAGAGGTTGTCGGGCCACCTCCTCCCATCTGGTTGGCCTAGGTATTTCTGGCAACGGTAATTGACGCCAGGCTTTCAAGCAACGAATCCAGAAGTCATCTTTTGTGATGTCGCTGCGGGCCGCATCTCGGTTGGTAAGGTCGCTGCGGGCCGCATCTCGGTTCTGATTCCTGCCTGCGCGGGAGCGCCGCGGCAAGGGCCAGAAACGGTCTTCCAATCAAGTCAGAGGGTTTACTGTTCGAGGGGCTTGTGGGGCGAGACGAGCGAGCTGTTCCAACGCCAGAGCTTGCCATAGGAGGTCTTATGCCAACACCAGTCTCCTGATCCACTGCACCATCAGCGCTGTGACCTGGACCCCTGGGTCTAGGATCCCCAAACCTCCTCTGTCCTTAGGCTGGATCACCGCCATCCACGCCACCCTATTGATAACCCTGGGAAGCTCGCTGTTACCCCTCCACAGCATTGCCATTAGTTGTCGTTTGAGCGACCTCACTGCCTCCTTACTAAGTGCCCATATCGCTGATTTATACCAGAGGGCAGCAAGCACCACATTGTTAATCGCCAGCGCCCTACCGATTAAGGAGATGTATTTGTCGTTCCAACACGCCAACTTCTCTAAGGCGGGCTTAAGAATCCAATCGTCGTTCGAAGCCGGTTTCCCTGTTGCTGTTAACATTATTCCTAACACTCTCACCGGGGCTATTTCCGGAAGCCATTTGACTCGTGGCAACTCCGGGGGGCGCACTCCTTGGTGGTGTATCCACCACCCAAGGGTTTTATTGCCCCAATTAACTGTCATATCTGACACCGCTGTGAACTGGTCAAACAAACGTCTAATCTCCTCCATGTTCTCAGTGGTGGCATCGACCATGAGTGTCAGGTCATCCGCGAACATCGAGTAGACAAGGATAGCCTCTTCCGGAATGGCCGAGATCTGCAGCTTCCTCAAATTTTTGTTGGCGCGGAGATTCGCCGCCAGGGCCTCCATCACTATTATGAACAAGAATGGGGCCAGGGGGTCTCCTTGGCGGACAGACCGCTGCAGAGGGAATGCCGGTGTGAGGCTGCCATTAATTTGGACACACGTGGTCGCGTTGTGATGCAAGATTTCAGTCCAGCGGCGAAAGACCGGGCCTATGTTCATTTTTTCCATGCACCGGTCGAGAAAAAGCCAGTCCACATGGTCGTAGGCTTTCTCGAAGTCTATGAAGACCACAACCAGGTTTTGTTTGTCTTGCCTGGTTAACTTAAGCAGTTCATTCACCAGTAGGATGTTATCCAGGATCCTGCGACTCTTGACAAAACCGGTTTGAGTCGGATGGATGATCTGATCCAGGACCGGGATCAGCCGGTTAGCCAGTGCTTTCGTGAGCATCTTATAAACGGTCGTGAGCAGCGTTATCGTCCGGTAGTTTCTAATGTCCATCATATCCCCTTTTTTGTGCAGCAGCGTGAGGACACCCTGCCCCACCACCTCCCCCATGTTTCCGGTCTCCCACACCGAGTTGTAGTAATCCATGAGGTCTCAGGCCATCTGGGGCCAAAAGGTTTCCCAGAATTCTTTGGGGAGACCGTCCACCCCGGGGGTTTTCTCATTCTCCATCTGCTCCATTGCTGCCCATATTTCTTCCTTGGACAGCGGCCGATCTAGGGTCAATCGTTGCGGCTGTGTCAGGGTTTTGCTCATTGGTTCTAAAAATTCAGCTATTTCTCGTTCTCTAGTGTTTTTCTCTTGATGGGCACACCTGGACGTGAATAAGTCCTTGAAGAAGGACCTCGCTATCTGCATGCATTGAGGTGTAGAACATGCCACGTCCCTTTGTGCCGAGTGCGGGTCCTATAATGCTTCTAGCGTTGTTCTGCGCACGCGCGCCCGGGCCAGGCTAAATAACTTTTTATCCATGGAGCCTTCCTTTTGATGCCATGTGAGTCGCCCTCTGATTTGTGCACCCTCCCAGCGTTGTGAAGCAAAGGATTAAAGACGTTGTTGCAGGACTTGTATCTCTGAATGTTCTTCTGGTTGTGTAAGATGGTTGCTGTTCGCGTCCTGTTGCTCGAGTTGTTGAAGTTGCAAGTGGATGTTCATTTCCTGCTGGTGATTTCTAGCCGCTAGTTGTTTAGAGTACTCCTGGCATTTTTTCCCTAGGTAGAAGAGACTGTTATTGAACCATTCTATTTCTTGTGGGACGTGTTGTTTCTGTGCATGCCAGAATGTCCAGCAATCGTTAATGTAGTTTCTGAATGTTGCTTGCCGCAGGATCGAAACATTAAGTTTATAAAACCCAGGCCCATGGTCAGGTTTCTTCCGGAATGACAGAATTACTGAGCACATTTTGTGGTCAAGACCTGGATACGGGCTGGCAGGCAGGATCGCTGCAAGCAGCATAGCCCCTGCCAGATCCTCCGAAAGCAAGATGAGGTCAATTCTGGATCGTGACTGGTTCTCGGCCCCGGTCTTGCGCAGGTAGGAGAAGAACCGCGTATCCGGGTTGAGTCTTCGGAAAGAGTCAAAAATATTTAAAGAGAGGCTCAGGTCCCTTATTATCCGCTCATCCTCCTCCACGTATGCCGGGACCGGGGAGGGAATTCTCCATCTATCCATCCAACGGTTCGGGGCTGCATTATAATCTCCTGCTATGATGACCGGAACGCCGTCTGGAATCTGTGTTTTAATTTCCTCAAAGAAGGTTTTTCTCTCGCTTACTACATTGGGGGCATAGATACACAAAATGCAAATAATCTCCAGCTCCAGGGTGACCAGAACTGACACCCATCTGCCCCCTTCCTGGTCAACGGCCCAGTACACCGGATCCGCTCGGGATTCGGGGGGAAACCAGATGGCCACCCCGGCGCTCCCGGGTCTCGGGGCGTGGGCTCTGAAAGCTTTATGTGGCCAGATCATTTTGTGAATACGATTATGTTCTGGGGAGTCTGTCAGGTGGGTCTCCTGGATGCACACAATGTCCGGCCAGTCCCTACCCCCCACCCCTTTCATCAGATCCCATATTGCGTTGTTCTTTTCCGGTTTACACGAAGCCAGGCCGTTCACATTCAGGGACCGCAGGTCGAGGTCTGTCGCCCTTCGGCATTGATTCCAGACCCGGTCCTTACCATATACCGCTCTGACTGGGTCCATTTCCGCAGATGTCAATCACTCACAATCTAGACCACGACAGTCGGTCCCAATCCCRRTCCGCGRCYCCCCCTCGCAGGCCCAGCCTGAGGAGAGAGCACAGGTGCCTTTGGACATCCTGCGCCGTCCACATCTCGCTGGGTCTGATCCTAACTGTCTGCATATCCAGGAGCAGGGTGTAGGTGTACCATCTCAGGCCCGCCTCTTTGGCTGGGTCATGGCGGATGAGAAAACCCTTTTGAGAGATTCTGCCGAGGTCCGGTATCAAGGGGGCTGTGGCTTGTGCGCCGGGGGGCATAGACTCTGCAATGTGCGATTCCAACTGCATTTGTAAAATCCCGGCTGCTGTCTCGGACTTGCAATGGTCCGCCCAGAAGGAGGACCAACCTTGCAGTGTGAGTCCTTTGATGTTACCATTTTCGACCGGTGTCAAACCAACCTCCCACTTCCCGAACCGGAAGCAGCACCATCGCCTCCCGAGATAGCGGACCCGTGTCCTGACCCATTTCTATCAGATATCTTAATTTCCTTCTTCGCACCTGGTCTAGTGGTGTATCCTCGTCCGGGTCCGGGGGATCCGGGTCCGGAGGCGGGACCGGTGGCTGAAGTACCGGCGTAGACCGCTCCGCTCCACACCGTCATGTCCCGCCTCCTCTGCAGCAGCCGGACGTGGTGGCGGGGGGGGCTGGGATCTTGCAAACACAATAGCGGCCACTCTGTGCCACGCCTCCGTCCACCTAACCCCGGGTTGCAGACCATTTTCCAGGACGTGCTTAAGCGAGGCGCTAATATCCAACATAGGAAACAGATCCAAGTATGTTCTGTCCCAAAAATCATCCGTGAGAGGGCCATATTTTGCCTTTAGATTGGTCATTAGCCAGTCTGCAATATCAACTAATTTTTGCTCGACTGGCAGGCGCGGCGGCGGGGTCCCTTCCTCCTCTCCCTCCTCTCCTGGCAGACCTTCCGGCACAGTGGAAGCATTTTCCGGGAGGGGGTCAACATCCATCGGTTCAGGGTCGAATGCGGGCAGGAAGGGGTCAATTTCCATCATCTGGTTTTCCTTCAGTTCCACCTCAACCCCTTTTTGCCCAACTGCCCCCTCCATTGCCTCAGCACCTTTTTGCCCAGCTGCCCCCTCCGTTGCCCCCTCCATTTCGACACTTTCCATTTGTCCCCTCGCCCCTCTTGCCCGACACTCCGAGCCTTTCATTAGCTCCATCTGCGTAGTTGTATCCTCTACGCCCTGTTGCCCCGCCATACCACCCAGTTTCTGTCGCTCCGCCTCGCATTCCCCCCCTTGTCGCCCCGACGTCTCACCATGCGGGGGGGGATCGCTGTTCATTTCAGCCCTCCCACTATCCTCCTCCTGGATATAGAGTGTCGTTGTCGGGCCCAGGGCTGCCGTTTTTCCTTTACCTTTCTCCTCTCTCTTTTCTTTGTCTCCCTGTTCCGGCCCCGGTCCGACCTGTTGCTTTTGAACCCAGACCCCTCTCCCCCCTTTTTTCCCCACAGTCCTCCAGTCTGTCTCCTCCGGACTCCCTTTCGGTGGGATCGTTTCTTCCAACGGAGCCGGAGGGACCCATGTGTTTGGGGGGCGAGTACTCCAATCTGGCTCCCCATCTCTCTCCCACCTCCATCCCACCGGGGTTCCCTCCTTGGTGGGGTCCTCCACAAAGACCCACCCCTCATGCCCCGGATCTACCGCCCGCCAGTGTGACGTCTTGATCGGGTCCCTCAGCAGCCTCCCTGTCGTCCGCTCCCTTTTCTGCGGGTGCAGCGGGCAGCTGTATTCGGTGCTCAGGTGGCCATATGCTCTACACCTATGGCACCACGGTCGCAATTTGTGTGCAGTGCGGATCATATACTCCTTTCCCCCCACCCGGTACGGGATTACGTCATCGAGGGAGAGGGGTTGGCCCGAGGGGAAGTCAAGGGCCAACATCAGGTAATCGTCCCTCTTAGCCACATAGGAGGGGAGGGGGTCAATGAAGGCCACAATGTCATAGAGTAAGCCAAAATCATACATGAATGCAGCCTGGATTTCCAATGGGATGTGACGAAATTCCACCCAGTGGAAATCCTGCGTTAACTGTGCCCTCCTCTCCTCCGGTCCCAACCTGCGCTGCGGTGCCCACGGGTAAATCCGCACCTCCGACCGTTCGCACCGAAGCCGCCTCCAACCGTCGATCACTTTTTTATCAGTTTCATGCAGAGAGAGGACTGTGAACAGGGTGTTGGTGACCGGTTGTATCAGAAAATGCTCCCTGGCCAGGTCGGCGCTGTTTTTCAAAATTTCAAGTCGGCGGCCAATTCATCTTGCCTTATCGTTGACTGACTTGAAGGCCGCATCGTCATGGAACACCCAATTGCTTGCGTGTTTCATATACATCTCATCTCTGCTTGCTATTCCATGACTGGGGTATGCCTTCACCATCAC